CATCTGTCTCTCCCATGTATAAGATTTTTGTGCAGTAATGAATAGCACTTATTTCATAATATATCTTAGGGATTCACTTTCCTCTCCAGGTTTGAGCTTTATTGTATCAATTTGTCAGTTTGGTGGCGTTAGATGCTCTCATATTACAATAGCTTCTCCATATCTGTTTATTTTATAGGGAAGAAGTGACGATAATAACTTCATAATTCATTTGTCCTCTGAAAAAACTCTTATATATTAAATAAGTTGTTTTGCATACTAAATGTCTCAATCTCCTCTGCCTCAATTCGCTAACATATTTGAAGGCTATTATTGGTTTTGTTTCAATTTATGTTATTGCTGATGTTTATGAAATATTCTTTTCACGGTGCATGTCGTGCATATTTCGTTAACTTCAAGTTGTTCAGTTACTTCATTTTTGCAATTCTTTTTGCTGTTTCAATAAATGAAGGAAGAAAATCCATCCTGCAGATAGATTGTGTTCTTCTGCTTAAGAAATATAAATTAATTGGGGGTTTCGTGCTTAAAATATGTATTTACCAGGAATAAAGGGTCAATGCAACATTTTATGGACGGATATTCTGGTAAAAGTGCTGTTAGTGGGGTGTTTGTCCCCAAAAAGGGATCTGGCATTGCTTTGAAAGATATTTCTAAGAATACGGATCAGAGCACTCAATTCTGCAGTCGACGGGGATGCAGTGGCAGAATTAAGTACACTCAGAAGACCAAAAGTGGAAGCTCCGTTAAAGCTAAATGTTCAAGGCCTTTAGATCATTCTTCAAATGACAAGAAAATAATTGGAAATCCCTCTAGGTCATTTTCTATTGTAACCAATGGAAAAAAATCAGGTCCCAATTCTAAGAGAGAATACTCTTCTCAATCAGATATTGATCCATTAGAAAGTAGTGTTTCGGGTGAGCCTCTGGACCCTATGCCTTCACCAAGTAGAATTCGAACAGCGTATCACTCAGAATCTAGAGATGCCAAGACTCGAAAGGGTGCAGGGCATTCAGGAAGTTCTAGAGTGACATCAACTATTAGACCAAGAAAAATATGTAATCGTAATTCTGGGTCATGCAGCGAAAACAATCAGCTAGATTCTATTTCACAGGTTTCTGAAGGCTCAGACCTTAGAGCAAGGAACTGTGGTGGTAGGAGCAGGTATGGTTTGAGAAGTCTAAAGTGTAATTCAATTTCAGATGTCGTTCCTCGAAGTTGTTCGACCTCAGATTCCCAACTTAACATGAAGGATGTAGTGAAAAAAAGAAATCCAGGAGAGAAAAGCAGTTCGTCTCATGGAGTGAAGCAAGCAACTGCAGCCTCGTCAATAGATGGGCATGCCCCCCCATCAATTAGTGGTATCTCCATATCTAATCTGCGACACAACAGAAGTTGGGCTGGTAGAGAGGATGGCAATGGTGTTGCATCTGTTCGTTCTCGGAGGTTAACAGATATAAATACAACTCCGAGGCATTCTAATTTATATAATGGAAACGGTTCCTCATTAAGAGAACCGGTGGTCAGGATTTCTCAATTATGTCGGCCCGAGCTACCAGTTGATGCTGGCGGTCACAATTCCTCTCAACACGTCTCTGCAAATGTTTCTTTAATTGGTTCAAGTTCATATAGTCTTTCTAGTAGCAACAGCGATAATCTATCCAGTGTAATGCCTGCAGAATTGGGCACAACCAATTTAATGGATCGCATGGCATTCGGTAGAATTGCTGAGGTATTGCTCCTCTAATACATAATATTCCCATGAATATTTTCCCTTGTATGGGGAGTGAGAATTAATGATGCCACTATGCCACCTTGTTTGATTAGACTTTCCTACTGGATGGTGATATATTGAAGTTTCTCACTGGACAGGTATTATTAGCAATTGGAAGACTTGAACAAGATGAAGAGCTGATTAGTGAGGTAGTCAATCTTTATTTACTTGCAATTTATGCCCATTAGAATTCATAATTTTTTATTCTCTATCTGCAGCATGTTTCTGCCTTGGAGACGAGTTTATTCCTCAGTGGGCTCAGCCATTATTATGACCAACATAGAGACATGAGACTGGACATTGATAACATGTCCTATGAGGTTCGTTTTTTGAGGAGTTGATACTCAATTAGTTAACTTTGTGCACTCAGCAAAGTTTAATTGATTCTGATCTAAATCCTGTTCAATTATGGATTATAATTTATTGAAATTGGGTCTTAAGTTGATGTTGGATTTTGATAAGGATATCATAACCCTTGGTGTTCTATGGTATCTTTTAACAGGAATTATTAGCTTTGGAGGAGAGAATAGGTAACGTTAGCACAGCACTCTCCGAAGAGGAAGTATCAAAATGCCTAAGGAAAAGCTGCTATCAGCCCATCCCTTCTGAAGTACGGGACACGGGATCTTTGGGGGAGGACAATGACACCAAGTGCAGTATTTGTCAGGTCCTTTTATTTTGTCTTTGGAATTTTACATTGATCATTATCTTTCGGTTGATTTTCTGCTTCCTCTATGGCGTCTCCCATCAATCCCTCCCACTAACGCACTCCAAATGCGGAAAGCTCCCCATAAATACTTAATTATAGAAGGAAAAAACCTTGAAATTCTTTAAACACGGCATTGTTTTCTCCTGAAAAGAAAGCAACTTCCATAAGTTAACTTGGTTTCCAGTATCCCGTCCAACTGCACCATGGTCCAGCCCTGTTGAGTTGCATTTAGGTTTGTCATCCTCACATTTTTCTCGAGGTCTAGCTAGATTAAAGAATACAAAACTCATGGATCTTATTATGACAAGTTAATTTATTTGCAAATCTATCTCTGGTATCTGTAGATCATGTCAAAGCTTCTTTTCTTTAAGGATCTCCAATTTGTCAAAAAAATATTTACTCCAATTGAGCTGATTTTGGTATTATTTGTCATATCTCTATAGTGTGTCTAATGGTGTCTGGATTGGAATTGAATATTATTTCTTATAGTGTTGTGGTCAATTTTGTATATAATATCATGGGGAAAAAATCTTGAGCTAAGAAGCAGATCCATTAAAGCTTTGCCCTTCTAATATGTTGGTATGTATACAAACAGAACAACCTGACATTTTGCTGAGAATGGCTTGTCAATGCATATACTTAAGATTAATTCATTACATAAATGAATTAATGTTGAACCCAGTTTGGGGTATGTTAAACAAGATCGCTTCATAATCTAATAAGCAGAATAAAAACTCGTTTTTACTGACTCCAAGCTTCCTTAGGAATTAAACCACACTTGGACAACCTGTTGTTGAGCTCAGTGCACTTCTTAATTTCATTTTTTCCATCCATTTTTTGCAGAGAAGACAACATAACAAACTGATGTTTTGCAGGAGGAGTATTTATCTGGGGATGAAATAGGTAAGTTAGGATGCCAGCACGGATATCACGTGGCATGCATCGAACAATGGTTGCGGTTGAAGAATTGGTGTCCCATCTGCAAGGTTTCAGCATCTCCTTCACAATTATCTTAGTTTAGTTCATAGTATGGACTAGATGTTGGGGGATGATTGGAATACCCTTATACAGATAAATGTCTTTCTTTTCTCATGGATTTTTTCCCCTTTTTTTCCCTTTGCATCATGTTAATCTCTCAATAATAGGAACTTTGGTGAACATGTGTATAAATATATTCTCCATTTTCAAAATGTAATTCTTCATCTCATACCTTTTTGCCCAAGTGTTTGGAGGTTCATTATTTCTTAACATTCATAGACTTTGCTTGTTTGCTTTATTCAGCATATTTTCATTGGTTCAAGTTGCTCGGTTTAGAGATTACACAGTAATAATCGACTCTTGAGTTGCATTTTATATATCTTTTCAGTGAACAAACTTGAAATGTATGGTTGAATAATAAAATTTGACCATTCATAAATGATTTATAAATTTTGCCGAATGAAAACTTGGATCAAACATGGCGCTCTATATGAATAACATATTTGATTACATAATTGCGAGTAAAAGCCACAATATCACATACTGAAATTAAGATTAAAAAGATAATGATAAAAAAATAAATAATAATAATAAAATCAACTATTAGCAAGAGTGGTTTACAATAGACATTAGTACAAACATTCCTGATAGTGTCACCTTTGTGGAAATTAAATCAGGACAATACTTATGAAATATTGAAAAAAGAGTAAGACGTTCTTGTACACGCTATATGTAGCATTACTTGGTTATAATAAAGATTCAATAAAGTTGAAAAGAAAATTATAAGATTTTGTGAAGAGTAAAATTCTTGATGGAGTGAAGAGGAATGGAGAATTGAGACATCGTGAAAAATTGTATATTTGACGCTTTTAGAAATATATAAAGATGCAGAGATGTTCATGTTTGCATTGATTTGAGAGTAGCAATCGTTAAATAGTGTTTAAAATGAGATGCTTATTTTTACAAAAATTATGTTATCTTTGTGGATTAAATACATATTTATTGACATAAATAGAAAATTTTAAAATACCAATAAATAACAATAACTTTTGTATATTTTTCAAGAATCATGAGTACTGTACACCAATAAATATGACTGGAAAAATGAATATGTACTAGTGTTTATTTTCACTATATGCTAACTTGAGCATGTGTGGGGCCCAACAAGACATCTGATTGTTCTGAAAGAAAATTAAACTCCCTATCCTTGAAAAATATAAGGAATAATTGTTGCAAAAGTTTCAAACATTTAAAACATTAGCAAATTTTTTTTTTAAAATTTTTTGATTTGTAGCAGCTGTCACCCCTATAACTTTTCTAAACGTTGCAAGTGAATCCCATTTGTACAATTTCATACACAATTCCATTTGTTGACAAATGGTCAAAAGAGTAACATTTCATTCATCACATTAAATAATTAAACTAATTAAATTGAAAAAAAAAAAAACACACACACACACACACAATCTTCATTTTCCACTCACCCCCACCTCAAACCCAAAATCAGTTGCCCGACCACCTCCACTTGCTATCGCCACCTAATTTTGATTAATGTCTTGAAACTATATCCATTCAGAAATTGAGAATTACAATATCCTCATGGGATGTTGTAAATTAATTGTTTTCGTCAGCGTTAGAAAATCTTCTCAAGTTTGTTTATAATGGCTTTAATTTGTTTAAGTGTTAATGGTGCATATTCTTATTTTTCACTTCCCTACTGTTAAAAAATCATCCAACAATAATCTTCTTTCCAAACAGGAGCTTGGACTTGGTCCATTTGCTCCCACTCGCAGGGGCAGAACCAAAAAGATTTGTTAAGGTGGACTGAAGGTTAAATTTTTTCAATAAACTCAAAATATAAAAAATGCTCTATGCCCATGAGATTTAATTTAAAAGGTTAAACTCATGATGCTCGTGTTAAAGTAGGTCACAATATATTTTCGAACACTCGTGACAAAGTTCTAATAAATATATTTTTTACTAATAAAATTAAATATAGAATATATTACTTATTTTGATAATAACATCCATTTTATGATTGAAATAAATAAAATTTTAATTCACAAGTATAAATAAGTAATATATGAAAAAAATACACAGCCCTTATTTGTTTCTCAATTTTTCCTCATTAAAATGAAAAATATGACTGTTGTCCATCACCTCAATCCATCAAATTTGAATTTTTATTTTTTGTGTGGAACTTATAACTACTATGTTTTTCATTTTCATTCTTGCAAAAATGGGAAACAATGCCCCCCCTCTCCCCATAATAAAAAAATTAATTACTTTTTAGTTTAGTCAAAGATGTGACATATCATACTGTTAAAATATATCATTTATCTTTATTTTAATCAATAAAAATTATTTGTTATATAATAAATTAATTTGATTATAAGTGAACTTTTTAAACTTAGTAGTATATATATGAAATAAAATACCGAATTAACGAGTTATTTGTGTATCATGAATGCAAATAAAATAAATATGTAATTATTGTAGAATTTTAAACTAAATTTGAATAATTGAATGCTGATGTTAGGTTGAAAATGAAGTTAGTCGGGTTAAAATTAATTTTTGGGCGAGGCTAAATTTTTATTTCTTTTAAATTCACCAATTTGGACTAAAATTTCCACTTTTCACATACCAATTTGCTTATGGGCTGGGACTGGGCCCCCTCTCCATTTGCCCCTGCCCACTCATGTAATTCTTCAAGATTGGATGAAACCTCAGATGAGAAGCTCAACTTCTTGGGATTTGTCCAATTTTTTCTCGAAGTTTCTTCCCGTGCACTTCAGAAGGTCTAAAAAATGGCTGTGCTCTAATCGCTGCATCTGCAAAATGCCCTTGAAGGCTTGAACTTTACTGCTTGAATAGAATCAAGTGGTGTCCCATTCTGGGGCTCCATCACAAAAGGATTGTCACCTTCTGACTGATAGCAAGTGGTTGGTGGAGGTGGTCAAGTAACTGATTTTAGGTTTAAGGTGAGGGTGAGAGGAAGAAGACAATTTTTTTTTTTTAATTTCTCATTTCTTATATTTTTAATTAAATTAGTTTTATCATTTAAGGTGATAAATAGAAAGATATTCTTTTATCAATTTTTAAATATTAAAACTATGGTCAAAGATAAATTTGGATCAACAAATAAAATTGTGAATGAAAACTATCCAAGATGATTTCATATGCAACATTTGAAAATGTTGGGGGTGACGACTGTAACAAATCAAATATTTTGAAAAAATTCTTCTAGTGTTTCTAAGGTTTAGGATTTTTGCTGTAATTATCCTCTACAAAATATTAAATTAATACTCTTAAAACTGATTGGAACTATACATTCTCGAATTAATTATGCCCAATTTGATTTTATCACTTTTTCGTTTAATGATCCTTCTTTTTTCTCTATTTTTTATATGATTACGAATTAATCATACCACAAGAATATCAATTTAAAGGGACATGATATGTGACGCCCGGTAGGACAGTGATTATCCTATTGGCTTGTTGTAGCAGATGATTCGCAAGAAAAGAACGACGGAAAACGTCCAAAAAATCATAGAAAATACTCTAAATTCAACTTAATATTATTAATAATGCAGAATGCTGAAAACTAACCCACAAGTCGGGTTAAATAGCTGCGAAATACGAAATTATGGGAAAATTACCAAAAATGGCAAAATCTCAAAATTATACCAAAATAAAATATTAAGTAAAATAAGTAAGTTGCCAAAAATTTGGCTCAATTCGAGTTTTCTAACATATAGAAAAAAGGAAACGAAATATTACCATAAATAGTAAAAAATAACTTAAAATTGAATTTTGGAAAGGAAAACAGTGGATTTTGGGCTTGAAATTGACGTCCACCGAGCATAGCTGGGTGGCCACGACGTGCGCGTCGAATAGAGCTTTCCGAATTGGGTCATAATAGCGATTCCGATAACCGTAGCCAAAGTTATGGCCAAATTACCAAAGAAGCATCAAATTCTCCCAATTAAGGAAATAATGGTGATTCACTTTC